CTTTAAAAAGTTTCCTTTAGATTATCAATAAACATTACTCCCTTTTACACGGTATTCAAAGAGACAGAATTACAGCTAATGTTCCAAAATGGTTTGCATTATCCCATTTTTATCTTCTGAATTATAGGCAGAAAGGTCCAAATCTTGCAATTACGTGAATCAAAGCTCTCCAGTGCATTCACGAGAGCTTTCATCAAAACATGTTGCTGAATTTATAAAACAGAAGAGGTATGCTATTAGAAGAGTAGAAACTTCTTTAAATAACAACTTCTTACTCTATCAGTTCTTAGATGCTACTTTATCTCTGCTCTTGGAAAATCTTAGGTAATAGCCAGTGGCTTTAAATCTCTTCTGAGAGAGAGAGACAAGTTTATTGTTATTAGTTTGGTACTGACAGAACATTACTCTGGATCAAAGGGTTAAAGATAAGAATGCAATATCAACATATTAATTACAAAGAACAGTTGCTTTTAATTACACCTACTGATGAAGCAGAAAATGGCAGCACTGTCTAGATAAATTAATATATGTATGAAAAAACTGCAGTAGCAGAATTGATGTGGTAAATTTTCATGTGCCTGTGAACACACATTAAAGTTGTGCTTACGTGAACCTGATTTTGCTCAATGAGGAGGAAACTGGAAACACATCTATTCCAAAGACCTGACCTGATTTTTTTGCTGGAGCTCTGGGGTAAATATATACTGACAAAAAAACTGGAAGCATTGCTTATTGATAAATTTAAGCATTCAGGTTCTGAGTGATCATAGTTTAAATTTTTAAAAAGATTTACATAGAGCTTCCCTCCACTAGTCCATGTATAACAAGCACATCAACAGGCCATCATCCCTCTTTCCTTCCCTCTTTCCTGGCTTTAAAACTTACTGGAAGCTGCTGCATAGTAATGGTTAACAGCTTTGCAGCCAACAGTCTGGGTTTACCCCCTGGCTTTGCATGTACTGGCTGTGTAACCACCAGCAAATAACAGCCTCTTGCCTCAGTTTCCTTACTGGTAAAACCAAGAAATAACAATATGTACTTCACAGGATTTTTGTGAGAGCTGAATGAAGTACTGCACATAAAGGGTTAGCATGGAACCTGGCACCCAGTAAACTGCCATAAGTGTTAGTCATGCTTTCTCCAATTATTATTCAGAATCAAGACATTATAATGATTATGTCAGAATCCAGACTGTCTCTTAACTGAAATCACCTATATAGTGGATAGGCCTTTGAAAACGTGATGGAATGAGTGACTTGCAACTAATTGTTGATGCATGTATCCCCATAGCCCTCAAGTACTAAAGTTAAGAAGGAGAATTAATGATTAAAAACAAACCAAAATAATCTGTTCCAGAAGTTTAGACCTCTTTCTTATAAAGGCATGGGCACTGTTACAGATAATCCTCGACTGAATGATGGTTCAATCTAACATTTGTTGACTTTACAATAGTGTAAAACCATTGCAATTTTGACAGTGTATGATACAGTATTTAGTAAGTTACATGGGATTTTCAACATTCTAATAAAATAGGCTTTACGTTAGATGATTTTGCCCAAGTGTAGGCTAATATAAGTGTTCTGAGCACGTTTAAATTAGGCTAGGGTAAGTGACGCTCTTCGTTAGATTATGCGTACTAACATTTTTGACTTATATCTTCAATCTGCGACAAATGTATGTGGATGTTGCCCTGTCATAGGTCAAGCAGCATCTGTACATTTATCTAAGGATCTCAAAGGACTTCACCAAAACTATTTCTTCACTGGTAACATGAAGCAATGTTACATAACAATAAGCAACAATTAGCAAAATAATTAAACTCAAGGAATATCATTAATGAAATGGTAAAGTCATTACTAAGAAAATCCTGGCCAGGCGCAGTGGTTCACACCTGTAATCCCAGCACTTTGGGAGGCTGAGGCGCGTGGATCACTTGAGGTCAGGAGTTCAAGACCAGCCTGGCCAACATGGTGAAATCCCATCTCCACTAAAAGTACAAAAAGTTAGCCGGGTGTGTTGGTGCATGCCTGTAATCCCAGCTACTTGGGAAGCTGCAGGAGAAACGCTTGAACCCAGGAGGCAGAGGTTGTATTGAGCTGAGATTGCGTCACTGCACTTCAGCCTGAGTGACAGAGCCAGACTCCATCCCTTGCCAAAAAAGAAAATCCTTCATCCGCAAATAAGAAAACATTTAATTATTTGTCAGTTACATAAGACAGCTCTCAGAATACAAAGCTGAGATGCCTCCTGCCAAAGTTTTAAAGAAGTCATTATGGTAAATGTTCTCACTCAAGGGATATGGAAAACAAGCCCAGGATCTGTATTTATAAGATTTTCCTTCAATAGATCATTAGAGAATTCTGCACAGGCGAGACACAGCTGATAGTACCATAACTGAGTGTAATTTTTGTACAAAGATTCCAAAATCTTTCCCGGAGGCCTTTATTACATGAACTAGACCAGTATGACTATTTCCTCCCTCGCTGCTTGGGCACTAAGACCTGGGTTTGGACTTACTAACTATGTAGCAACAAGAAAATAGCAACATTAATGAACATTAAGAAAAAATAACATCACATATTTAAAATACATGCAAGAAAAGAGGCACTGAAGGAAAGGAGATTGATAGAAATGAACCTGAAAAAAAAAAAAAGGCAGAGAAGAAACCTGTATTTCCTTGGACCTATGTTTTCTAGTTCTATTATCGACATTCAAATGGTCTCCCTCACTTACTGCAAAATTATGGCAGGAAAAAACGGGTGGCGAGAGGAGCATATGAGAATTATCTTCGTAGACAAGCCCATCTGATTTAATTCATTCAAAGAATGGATTGGTGGTGCTCGCGTGAACATCTTGGGCAAGCAGTTTGCCAACATGGGAAGACAAAGGCCTACTTGAGAGGAGAAGGTGTAGGAGAGGTGTTCAGGAGAAGGACGACAGGAAGCCACCTGGCCCAGCCTGGTGTTTATAACCAGAAAGATCAGCTCATCTGGTGCCTCCCCTCTCTTTGACTGTTTGTTTTAGTTTTAACTAGAGAGAACCATACTCTCTCTCACTCCAAGCTGGGTGCAGGTTAGTAGTCGAGGAAGGCTGTCAAAGCACTTACTTGGCGATGAGCCGGCAGCATGAAGTTACATAGAAATCTGGCAGTTTCTAATCCTTCTCATTAACACAGCTAGCTACATTTTCTGACCTCTATTAGTATCCTGTTTGGTTACTAAAATGGATTTTTAAAAGTAAGCTAGAAGTCACCAAGTCTCTATTTGGAGTGTGTAGATATGGGACTGGTTCCCTGTCCAATCAAGACCATTATTTTCCATTGTGAACTTCCCCCAGCTACACAAACGGCCTCCCACAGCATGTTTTATAACACAGCCTCTCGGGCAGCCAAACCCCTTTCTCTTGCAGGTCAGCACCACCCAGAAGTCTCCGCTGCTTGGCTTGACAGCACTACAGTGTCTTAGTCAGGTATCAATGCTGCCTGAGACTACAAAGTGAGTCCTTACTAACCTGAGCACAGAGTATTGTGCTCATGTCAACAGAGTTTTGTTTTGTTCCTAAGCCAAACTCCACAGTATCATCATTCATTCTGACTGCAATAATAAGTCCTTTGTATTTCAATTGCTAGAAAAATAAAGAACAATTTTAGCATATCCTTTCAAATCCAGCCATGTGCAGTGCTTGGAAATGATCTTTCCAAATCCTCTGGGCTCTCTCCTTCTCTCCCTCCCTCCCACCACTGCCTCAGTTCTTGCTATCACCCGCACCCTCCAGGGCCGGGCCAGGGCACGTAGACCACTGCCCTGCTGGCCAAATCTTCCGGGGGGCCTGTCTGGTTTGTGCCAGGTGGTATTGGCTGGGGAGCTACCTAGGGAAGAAGCACCAAGCATGAACTCCAAGAGCTATAATCTTTCATAGTCTGCTCCTAACACTGGTGGGGCACTCCAGGGAAAGGGTAGGACAAATCCCCTTGGCATGTGGCTATAGCTGTGCACAGCAGGGCTCCTGAGGGGAGGCAAAGGAAAGGAGCTATGTCATGAATTGGTGTCCCCAAGGACACTTGCTACGGGGGCTATATGAATTGGTGTACCCAACGCCTGCGGTCACCCAAGAGCACCGAAACTGAGTGGTTACCAACTCATTCTTGGCTCTGTGATCAACAGTAAGTGCTAAAGAATTTAAATTTTTTTTTTATTATTTTTTGAGATGGAGCCTTGCTCTGTTGCCCAGGCTAGAGTGTAGTGGCATGATCTGGGCTCACTGCAACCACTGCCTCCCAGGTTCAAGCGATTCTCCTGTCTCAACCTCCTGAGTAGCTGGGATTACAGGCCCACACCACCATGCTCAGCTAATTTTTGTATTTTTAGTAGAGATAGGGTTTCACCATGTTGGCAAGGCTGGTCTCGAACTCCTAACCTAAAGTGATCCACCCTCCTCAGCCTCCCAAAGTGCTGGGATTACAGGTGTAAGCCACCACACCTGGCCTTAAAATTTCCTTAAATTTGACTGGTTTTTATTTATTAGTATAAAATGTGAATGTTTCCATCCAGAAAATAAAAATTAATTGTTGAACTAAACAGCTCTTATTTCTTCTCAACAGGACAAAAGCAAATTACAGATGGACAAGATAAAGACATAAAGAGTTTTCCACTCTGTGATGTGCATGTGTATTAATTACCCAACAGACCAGCAGAAATGTTGGCATGAGGTGGCAGTAAAACTCAAGGAAAACAGGACTGAAGGGCACCTGGCAGCCCAGGGACAGGACCCCGCAGCATGATGGGAGGCTGAGGGAGCAAAGGGGTCAGGAGGATGGGTCAGAGGTGCGGGGTAAACTAAGGCAGCAAGAGGGATCCTGAAGCAAACCGCGGACTCAGAGGCATCAGCAGAAGGGAGCAAATCAGAGAGGGAGCTGCTACAGGGGCTGACCGCCACCGCAGCTGAGATTTGGTCAGTTCCTCAACCAAACTTGGTTTCCGCTCTTTTCATCTTGCTTCCAGATCACTTGGCCTAGAGACCTGCCGCCCACCAGGATGGACCAGGCCAAATATGATCACGCCTGGCTTTGAGTAAAAGAAAAGAAGACCGAAAAGCAATGACCACGGGGAGGGGCTGGCAAGGCAGGGAGGAGCACCCCAGGCCTCCGTGCCTGGCCCTAACTGCAGGGCGGACGGAAGGCACCCCATTATGCCGGAGCAGCTCACTGCTTTGGGTTCCTCTTGGGCACCTGCTGGATTGTAAGTACAGCTGTTTCGTACGTTAATTACCATAAATACCATCATTAACACTGAAAACAATTAAACGCCGTACACTGGCAGCAGATTACCTACAGTGTCTCTCACAAACATGGGAAAGTAAAGGAATCTTCCCCACCAGCAAGGATGTTTTTCTTTTTAATATTCTACCGACACATAAGGTCTTGCTATGTTTATCTGACTGATGAAACAATGAAGCTTTTAAACTTCTGCACCAAGAAACAGAAGACACCATCAAAGAAACACATTATTATGGCCTTGAACATCTGTGCTGAGGGAGGGCAAGCTCAAAAATAGTTGTGCTTCATCTGGGGCTGCCATCTGGGAATCCAACAGACACCAGAAACTTGGGCCTCTGCCCTCCCAGTTTCACCACGGACTCTCCTTAACCCTTTGAGTGCCAGGCTCCATTTTGGGCTCAGGCCTCCAGCCCCTGTGAAAGAGAACGGAGTGTCCATTTTCCCTCCCATTTGGAGAAGGCCCTGTGGACACAGGCAGGTGGTAGCCTGCGGACCCTGATCCTGTGAGGCTGCCTTCCCTGTCATCAGTGGATAACTCTTAGGTACCTCACTGCACTATTTGAAGAAGTAATCTGTGAAATGATTCTCAGATGATGAAACTCAAATTATTTCCACCCATTAACTTCCAACTAAGAAAAAAATGTGCATCTGTGCACAGTTTGGTATGGTGGTTTGAGTCTAGACTGAAAAGAAAATCTGGATTTAGACAGTGTTTCCTGCTCTGTTCTATGCCAGCAGAATTGATACGGCTGTTAATTCATTTATAATTTTACATGTGACAGGACTTGGGGCAAAGCACAAAAACTCCAGGTTAGGTTAGAAAGAGAGTGTTTTTCTTGAGACTTGGAACAGGAAGGCGATGCAGGACTCAGACCCGGCACTACTGCCTCTTTTACAATTACTAGCATCTTCATTTTAAGAAACGGGGATGAAGAAAAGTTAAATAATTTGTCTGAAAATTAAGCGTTAGGACTCAAAATCAAGCCTTCTTCACAGCGAAGCCTAAAGATGAGCTTCCATGAAAAATATCGAGTAGATGGGTTTGCATTAGTCTTGGGATATCAACTGAGATCGTTATGAGAAAATTGGTAATCAGAGAGAGCTTACCCTGATTTTATTTTTCAGGCCTTTATCTGTGTCCCCCGGGCCTAAAATCATAGAAAACACTCATGATAATGTCAACGCTTACGGCAGAATATAAAAGCTTAAGTTAACCTTGTTCAAATATGTGTTTCACTTGGGTTTAGGAAAAAAAAACCAACTCTAATTTTCACTGAATATCCGAAGAGGCAAACAAAACTTAACTAATATTATAATATTATTAATACATAACTAGTAAATACATAAGATTTATTTAAATCAAATAAATTGAATTAGTTAAATAAACTAATAACCGACTCTTGAGAAAGGGGTGAAAAGCCACACCATTTCTCAAAGCACATACGTTTTCTGTGCCAGCTAAAAATGCTCTGCTAAACTAGGAGAGTGAGTTCCTGCTTCCTCCCTTGCTCCCCTCAGCTCCATTTCCAACAGCAGTCGGAGGGAAGTTAAATATATCTTCACAACAGCCCAGGCGCCCTATCTGATACACCCATCGACTCAGTCACCAGCTGTGGCCTCTGCTGTGGGTGTCTCTGTCTCCTCCCCTCTTTCAGGGCCCTGTCCCAGGTCACCTTAATAACCCTTCCCTCAGCGCCTTATTGTAAATAATACCTCCACCCTGCAGCCTCAGCATCTGAACTCCCTGAGAACTGGGAAGTTGGCCTGTGGTTTTCACCAGGGCAGCCCCAGTGTCCTCATCAGTGGTCGGGACATCTTAGCATTCAAGATCGCTGTCCCTAAAGGAGATGACGAGCCGATCATTGACAACGTGGGAGACACGTCTTTCTGCGGCACTTCGTTAATATCTAGACTAGCATCCTGCGCCCAAGACAGACTCCCTGACATGTTTCCTGTGTGAAACAGTCCCATACCAAGAATTTTAAAAAGCAATTTTTCTCCTTTTGAAGAAAACCATGCCTCCTTCAACCCCTGGCAATATTTTCAGGAATTATTTTCAGTGGCATTTGAGAAAGTTCAATACTGAAGATTTTTCAGAAAATCATTGAAAGAGAAAATTTCATAACATAACCTGTTGGTCTCTTGACAGAGAATGAAGCAAGGACAGGAAACACTAACATACACATGCACACATTTTACAACAGCAACAGAGCAAAAAGATGCCTAAACCATATCCTCGAGACAGCTCACTAAAGACCCCTCTGAGGCCACTCCAAGACCAATGTTTAAAAATCGTCACTTTCCTTATGGGAGGGTGACAGAAATGTTCTGTATCATGATGGGCTAAAAGATTACACAAGTTATGCATCCATCAAAACTCACTGAATTTTACATTTAAAATGGATGCATCTTCTTGTATATACATTATATTTCAGTAAAGTTCAAAAATTATTTTGAAAGTTAAACTTCCTTTTAAAATTATAATTATCAAGAAAAAAATGTTTCTTAAATATTTAATGAAGAAAACTGCTGCATGATAGATAAAACTCTCATGAATACTTAAAATATTTTCTCTGAGATAATCAAAATCATAAATGAAGCAATTAAAATAACGTTGTAGGCCAGGTTCCTTGGCTCACGCCTGTAATCCCAGCACTTTGGGAGGCCAAGGCGGGTGGATCACTTGAGGTTAGAAATTCAAGACCAGCCTGGCCAACATGGTGAAACCTCGTCTCTACTAAAAATACAAAAATTAGCCGGGCATGGTGGCACGCACCTGTAATCCCAGCTACCTGGGAGGCTGAGGCAGAAGAATCGCTTGAACCTGGGAGGCAGAGGTTGTAGTGAGCCGAGATCACGCCACTGCACTCCAGCCTGGGCGACAGAGTGAGGCTCCATCTCAAAAAATAATAATGTTTTAAAAACCCAAAGTGGGATATTATCTTCTAAACTAATTAATTCCTGTTTGAAATTTGACTTCGAGCTTCCATTTTTAACTTTCTAATGCCCTTTTCAAACTTTGAGGTATTTTACCCATTTTTTTTCAAGTAGGATGACTCAATTACATTTTATTTATAGTTTCAGAATTCTTAATTTATAAATTATTTTAACACTCTCTTAATCCTGTCCCTCGGAGTTTACCTGGAGAGGCAGTATTGAGCCTGGCCTGTCTGTGCTGCCAGGAAGGCCTGGGGTAGAACTCATCTGCCCTCCACATCACCATGTCCTGTGGAATGAGGGCTTTAAGGAAACACACACCATGGACCGTTATGTGAAGGGCAGGCTGAGAAATGCAGATGAAACGCCTGGTACCTTTTGGAATTCAAGAAATACTTGCTATTTCACACTATTCTGGAACTTCTTTATTCCCGTCTCAAAAATGATGTTACTCAAGTAAACCCCCTAGGAAGTGGCTAGACACCCAAGTGTAAAGACAAAACGATCCCAATCCGTTGGTTAAGGTCCCATCCCCTGGTCTTCCTCAGAACGTGAACCCGAGAGCTGTCTCCCCGCACGGTGCAGGCCCTCACATGCCACCTCAAGAGGGTAAACGCTCCCTATACGAAAAGGAGTGATAGAGCCTGAACTTTGAGGATATCCACTACAGGTTTGGCATCAATCATGAGTCTGCTTTCCTCCATAAGCTCACATTTATTTTAAGCATTTGATGGGGACACACACAAATCGCTGATCCATGTGTGTGGCCACAAACGGGCTGTTTCACTGACCCGTTGGTCTCTTGACAGAGAATGAAGCAAATACAACTTTATTTCACTAAGCCCACAACTTAGCGAAACAGTCCTGCTGGGTTTGATATTTTTAAAAATCAACTGTACTTAATCTGAAATTCATTTAATTTAGTGATGCCCTTTAACAAATCACAACCTGTTTATTGTGAGTAAATATTTAAGCCAGCTCAATGGTTTTAAATATCTAACAGAGACTGAAGATAAAAGCCAGATAAATGAGATTTATTGGTGACTAGGTAATAATCAACTGCTACTGTTCTCAGAAGGCCCCATCAAAGGCTCAGGCACAGAGACTTTTTCAAGAGCAGCTCCAGATCCAAGGGGTGCTGTCAACTCATTCAGTCAAGGCATTCAACTTTTTCTGTTTTTACTGATAACAAAGTCAATGACTTACAAATATTTAGCAACTTTATGGGAAAAAAAATGCTAAATTTGAAAGGTTTCAGTTTGAGAAAAAGGACATTTCTTGGGAGACAAGAATGAATGTAGGGCACATGTGTTAAAGAAACTTTTTAAAGAATTTTCTGATTTCTTTAACTTTAATGAAACTAGGGCTATGGAGACATATCTGGAGAATAAATGCTTGAAATAACTAAATAATCATATAAACCAATTACATTTATGGTGCATTTTTTTCTCTAAACAGGCCAAGACATTTAAACTGCTCAGCTATCGTTTTTTGTTTTGTTTTTTTATTTTATTTTATTTTTTGAGACGGAGTTTCGCTCGTCACCTAGGCTGGAGTGCAATGGCACGATCTCGGCTCACGGCAACCTCTGCCTCCCGGGTTCAAGTGATTCTTCTGCCTCAGCCTCCTGAGTAGCTGGGATTACAGGTGCCTGCCACCACGCCCAGCTAATTTTTGTATTTTTAATAGTGACAGGGTTTCGTCGTGTTGGCCAGGCTGGTCTCAGACTTCTGACCTCAGGTGATCCGCCCACCTCGGCCTCCCAAAGTGCTGGGATTACAGGCATGAGCCACCATGCCTGGCCCCAGCTATTGTTTTGGACATCCTCAGAAAATGAGGAGTTTGCTGTAACAAATTTTCAACGTATTTTCAGAAAACAATTGTTTACCTCAATAAGCAAATAACCTTGAGAGGGTCATTTTTGATGTAAATCATTTTTAAATGAATTACAACAGTTTTCTGCTTCCTTGATAACGACTTAATGGTCAGGTGTGGTGGCTCCTGCCTATAATCCCAGAACTTTGGGAAGCTGAGACAGGTGAATCACTCGAGCTCAGGAATTCAACCTCGGCTCTCCCGAAAACACAAAAACTAGCCAGGCCTGCTGGCATGCACCTGTGGGCCCAGCTACTCAGGAGGCTGAGGTGGGAGGATCGCTGGAGCCTGTGAA